TGGGAATTAGTTATTATTTTTTTCAAAATAAGTAGGTCTGGCAAACAGTTGATAGGACTGGCAAAACTGTCTTACATGCAGGACCCAATGTCTGACAGGAAAAAAAAAATTATCTGCATCTCTGATTCATGACTCACAATCCAAACTCTGTCTGTGTGTTGTGGTTCTTGTTGTGGACAGACAGTCAAGGGTAACACTTAATGCCCCCGTTGCCTAGGGCGGGGCATAAAAAACACCCACAGACATTTGCAATTCCTGTGTCCCAAGTAATTATTATGTTTCTTGGGAACAACCTTTACAAAGATTATGAAAAACTCCAAGCACCTATAAACATTTATAAAAAAGTACTACAATTTTTAAAATCATTTTACAAAAAATTAAAGCACACATTTTATGTTTCATTGTCAAGTCCAAACTTGTCTGACTTTTATTTATTATACATGTTATATGGCAGCACAAAATCCATTTAAGAATAGTTCCAGGCCTCATGATTTAGGAAATTTTAGCGCATGATTTTTGTTTTAATATAAAAATAATGCATGTGGTTTAATTACCAATGAGACAACTATCCATCAGAGACCAAATAACGTAGATGTTAGCAACTATATATGTCACTGTATATCATGTACTTGTATAAATTTATTCTGTAATTTTGTCGGTCTCTAGGGCTTATAGTGTTTTAGGTTTTCCAACAATTATATAAAATTAAGAAACAAGAATGTGTCCATAGTACATGGATGCCCCACTCACACTATCATTTTCTAAGTTCAGTGGACCGTGAAATTGGGGTCAGAACTCTAATTTGGCATTAAAATTAGAAAGATCATATCATAGGGAACATGTGTACTAAGTTTCAAGTTGATTGGACTTCAACTTCATCAAAAAATACCTTGACCAAAAACTTTAACCTGAAGCAGGACAGATGGACAGACGAACGGACGCACAGACCGAAAAACATAATGCCCCTCTACTATCAAAGGTGGGGCATAAAAACTACAAGCAATGTTAATTTACAACTACCTCAAATAAAGCAAGTCTAGATTGTGCCTATTTAAGTCAAGACTTAACAGGCTGGTACATGTAGCTCTGCTTCATGATTTGAAATTTACATTGTATGTATACCCAGTTAAAAATTGATAGTACCTAGATAGAACCTTCCCCTCCGCCCCCTACCCCCCCCCCCCCCCCCCAACCCCCCCCCCCCCCCACCCCCCCCCCCCCACCCCAAAAAAAAATATTAAAAAGATGAATAGGAGGTTAATTATTGCAAATTCAGGAAATCTGCATGTACAGATACATGTATTTGATACCAGAATGTGAGTTTTTATTATTGCAATACTCATCCAGTTGCATTTTTCGCATTCATAAAAACCTCATAATTCTTTCTGAATTTACATTACTAATTAAACAATTTACTACCTTGTCAATGTCTGCTATAACTGAGGTACATACATGTAAATGTATATAGATATCATCTTCATGCATGCAGTGTTCTTTTTAATTTAAATACTGATGATAACCATATCTAATCAAAGTACTGAAGTACTGAACATCAAATGACTGCAAGTTCTTGTGGATGGTCACAAGCACTTGTCTCAGAAAAAAAAACCACATCTCTATAACTGATAGTGAGGTTAAGGTACATAGATATATTTTTTTCTGAGACAAGTTCGTGGATGGATGATGAATAAATGACAGGGAATTCAACCTCACCGTAATAACTATTATATTTGTAGTGATACAAATCAGTATACACTGGTTTGTTGTTATATATTATATTTATATTTGTATAAAACAGTAACATGAATATATAATTTTCATCCATTTGTATAGCATTCTATTCTACTATATTAATAATAGTGCAGTGCAAGTGCATGGTGGACACTCTTCTGTAATAATTTGATTTTTCTAATAGATTGGATTTGAGTAGGCATTCATATTTTCCCGCAAAATGTTCTTAAGACATTCTTCCGCATGCGTTAACACAAATTTGGGGTATTCTTGATTTGTTATTGATCTATATATATTTCTCACGACAAAACATTTTCATATCATTTATCTATATTCTTAAAAATTATTTTCAAGAATATTTATTGATAAAATTGATATATAACAAGCGATAAGGAATGTTATTGTGCGTTCGGTTATCAGTCAAAAACAAAAGTCACGTGGGTAGATATGTCTGTGGCAACAATACACCGGAATGCCCTTAAGGTCATCCGATGTAAAAAGAATATGTCAAGGTGGGCAGTCAAGATTAGCCAACTACATATTTATAAGTCCAATATTATTGTGTCATGAAAGGCTTCTTTAATTTTTTGCTGTGATGCCTTCCTAAGATGAACGGTCATAGGAAGGCATCACAGTAGTAAACATTTAACAAAGCCTTTCAAGAAATTATAATATTATTTTAGACTATCAATCAAAAATGTTCTATTCAATCAATAAGTATATAAACTTGCAATTGGTCATATTATTGACTGTGTACATATAAAAAATACTATTTTCAAGATAATTTATCCAAGGTGCAGGCTTTTTCCAGAGAAAGACGCAAGGTCCAGGATAAGTCCAAATAATTATGACGAATCGGAAATAATGCTGTTTTTTATTTTTGCTTTGACACCTTCATCTCCAAGTAGGGATTTATAAAAATCGGGTGTTGAAAATTTCTGACAGCATACAGCAAAAAATATTATAATCTGGACTTAAGAATAAAATTGGGGGATAACACAATCTGTGGGCTCCAAATTAAGGGATCAGGGTTCCTTTGAGCAAGTTTTTGTGCCATTTTTCACCTTCTGAATCGAATGATTAACAAAAGAAACAATGTATGTTTCATAAATTTTACATATTTAGTGTCTTTCACTTACTTTTATACTTTCACGTAGAAGTGAAAATAACTTCCGCTGCAAGGTGCTTTCCATTCTGCAAACCACAAGCATCTTTCCGACAGCGATCGTCTTCTGATTGGTTGATCCGCAAAAGGTAGCCGGTTCCCACAAGCCGACAATCTCGACAAGAAAAACAGCTATTGCAACCGTTTACAATATAATTAAGGCACAGACATACAATATTCAAATTACACCATATTGATACCCGTTTTTAATTCAAATGCATGTATGTAATTTTTTATCATACATTTTTATCGATAGACGCAGCTTACGGGCTGTCCGCCATTAATGAATATATGAATATATAATGAGGTCCTTGCAGGGTTACCTCCCCCTGACCAAATCTAATCGAAATTGCCTTAACATCACTGCGTATAGCAATTCAAAATTACTATTACCTTTAGAATGACAATTACAATAAAATTTGTATAGAAATTGTTAGACTGCTTTTTCATAATATCACTGAAGTGGAATTAAAGTCTTATAGGATTGAAAGTATGTTTTATTTTATCACCTTGCACTTTCACGACTTGACTGTGGTTTTCTACAGCAGTTTGTTAAAATTTCTGACCAGTTGAACATAAAATTGAGAATGGAAATGGGGAATATGTCAAAGAGACAACAACCCGACCAAAGAGCAGACAACAGCTGAAGGTTTGGTTTTATAAAACAAATTGCAATTTGGTCAGAATTTTGAATAAATTGCAATAGGCAGAGAGCAACACTTACAGTCAAGTCACAGTAAACTATTAAAAATAACTGTATATTCATTTACAAGCTTTATAAACACTTAAAAATTTGGATGTGACATCCCGTTTATAATAAGATTTTCACAGGTACAGCTAACTTTCAAACCAAATCTCTGTATCTATGAAAAAGTTTAATAAAGATTTAAAGTAGGGCTTCCATAAATTTTTGAGCCAGCCGGACATTTTTTGTCTTGTCCCGATTTCAATCTCTCAAGACTTAATAACAAAAGGCAAGCATTTTAATCAGTTGGGCATCATGTATACACAATGGTTGATACAAATATGATTTTAAACTTGACTTTTGACATAAATTCGATGTTCTGACGTAAACTGTTCAATTGACAGTGCATCAATCAAAGTGTGCAAAATCAGCATACTAATATCTGTCTAAGACTCTTTATTTGTGGAAAATTACACTGTCAACATCTTCGCTTTTGATTTTAAAAAACACATTTTTCTAATACCGGATGTTGACTTGACAATGGTAAAACATGGACCAGAGACCAAATCCATGTATGTTTACAAAGTACAGTTGAGTTTAAGTAGCTCTTTCTATGTTATTTCTTCAGGAAAATACTTGAAATGATTGTTAGATAATAAAATCAATGATAATTTTAGCATTTTTGAAAAATTCGGATGCATAATTAAACCTCACACCTGTGCACATGTGACACATGTACTAGTTCAAACAACCTGGTTCTGACGATTTTTCGCTTACAACCTTTCTTACTACATAATCTAAATCTTTTTGACTAAATTGATTAGATGCAAACCGCTAAAATTAAAAAAATTACTTTTAAATAACTGAATAGCCCGATCATTGTCTGGTATAAAATAGTTTACCTGTTGCGTGTAAATTATGATTTTATCGTTTTAAATATGTTTTTCTGATAGTCTCAATCTGTATTGCTAAAAAGTAGTTAGATTTAAACCAGGAATGTTTTTAATTTAAATAAAAAAATAACTTTCGAAAAGATCAATTGATGTCCGGAACAAATAGTTTACCTGACACAGGTGATCACAGGTAAATCTCACCTGTTAGACACTTAATTAACCTTGATTGTAATGAGAGGGGATTATAGTAGGGCTTGTTTTTAGAGTACTGTCACTTTAATGACCGGAAAAGTGTGTCTGTTTAAGGCACAAGGTCAAGTCAAAATGGTTGATTTTTCTGAATCACATGAACATTGAATAATGGCAAACCTACATAGGATGTCTGTTTTATGCTTGGCCCAGTAGGACAATGTCCGATAAATATATATTTTTCTGGCAAATATGACCATTTTGGAAGCCTTGATTTAAAGTAATCTGAATCAAAAGCCTTTTTCTGTCTACAGGAAAAAAATAAATATACACTTACTGCCTGGCACAGTGGTTATGATATTTGAATAATCAGATGTGTTTTTCCATTCCAATACTTTGGCTGTAACTTGAAATTTGTACTTCCAAAATTCTTCTAAACCTACCCCTGTACAATTTGTGTCATCAAATTCTAAGAGAAAAAGAAAGGAAGAATTATTATAATTTTATTATTTTACCTACCATTGTAGTGAGATAAGCAATAGAACCATCTAAAAGTGAGTAAACATAACTATCAAAATAAAATCAATGTCCTCCTGAATATGCATTAAATATCTGCTACTGGACATATTCCATCAATATCACAGCTACATGCTGTAATTTGTCATCTATCTGCACTTATATATATATTATTAGTCAAAACCATTTTAAATGAAAGAGGAATAAGACATATATATATATATTTATCTTACCTCCTATACATTTCTAGGAATATGATTGGTTAAAAGCAACCGTGTGGAGACTGTGTATATTCAATGTTGGGTTAGTAGGCGGTGCTTATTTCAATACACGGTTAGTAGTGGTGTTACGTCCCTTTTTGATAATAACACGGTGTTGAGGAAAAATCTTAAAGGTTTCAACTATTGAAATAAATTCATAAAACACATTTACAGCTAACAATATGTTATTGTTGGAATTTGTTTTTGTATAGACCAATAGAAGTAGGTTCTTAATACTAACGGTATTGAAGACTTGATCACTTTGATAGGCTACTAGTCTTAATACCACATGTTAAGATAGTCAGTGAGATAAATTCGTTACATAGGGTGCTAGTGATCTAATACGATATATATAGGGTCAGTAAATTCCATATGGGGGTTCGAGCTTGGCTCTTACCCAATATGGAATTTACTGACCCCATATATATCATATTAGGTCACTAGCACACTATGTAAATTCCATATGGGGATTCGAGCTTCGCTCTCACCCCATATGGAATTTACTGACCCCATATATATCGTATTATGTCACTAGCACACTATGTTAAACTAATAATATTCATCAATATCATCAGACCTCACAAAATTTCATCTGCAGAATAATGAGGCAATATCTTACTATTTGTCATACAGTAACTTTTAACAGGTTTATCAGGTTCAATAATATCCAATGCTGCTACATCGTAAGAAGTTGGTCCGGTTTCTAGCAGTGGCTGCTCCCATGTAACTAAGACATATTGTCCTCTTAGCGTTGCATTAACAATTCCTGGCTTGTATGGTGCTACAGTAAAAAAGAACAATCTTTAAAAGAGAGGCAGAAGATACCAAAGGGATATTAAAACTCATTAGTCCAAGACAAACTGACACAGCCATGTGAAAAACGTAAAACAACCAAAAGACAACCAACAGTCTACAATACACTACATAGAAAACTGAAGACTGAGCAACAAAAAACCTACCCTCTCAGATGCTCTGGAAGAGTAAGGAAATCCTGTTCCACATGTGGAGATCTAACTCAAATTTAGAGGTAGTGTGAGTAGTCAAGTTAAGTTTCACAGATTAGCCTTTCACACAGAAACTTGAATGACATAAAAATCTCATGGTCTTTTAAAAATTCTAAACAAAAGTTATATTATGTGAATCTAAAGATCAGTCAACCTTCTATGAATCTAGCTAAATCCCCAAATCCAAGACATTACTTCCTTAAATCTGCTTAGAAACTACGTTCTTCATAAAATATATAAAAATATGGAGATGTGGTATGATTGCCTATATAAAATAAGATGCAGGCAGCTACAGGTCAATGTATGGCCTCCTACAATAAGTCAAAACCCATACCATAAGCTGTAAAAGGTCCTATCATGACAAAATGAGAAACAATTTAAAGAGAAAACAACTGCCTGATTTATGCTAAAAATAATAATATATGTAAAATCAAATAGTTTGGTACCTCTAGATGAAATTGCCACTGTTTCCCTTGATATTAGTATTTTTCTCCAAAACTGAGATATCGATTGATATGACCTTTCAAATAAATTTGTGCACTAAAACAAGGCGATTTTTCACTTTTTTAAAATTTCTGAGCACAACTATAATGGGTATTTTTCAAACTCAATTGAAATATTGGAACTTTAGACCATTCCTGTAAACTTGATTTAAAATCAAACAAATACGTGAAAAAATAGAGAAGGCTTACAAGGTGTACAGATGGGCATTTAGAAATTCTATGGCCATGCCTATCTTCAACCAAAAATCAATCAAATGTAATAAATCATTCTGATTTTAATATTTTTTAGTAGTCAGAAAGTCATCAAGGATAAAAATTTAACTGCTATAAGAGACTTTTCAAATTGATAGGGTTTTTTTTTTATATTTCAATTTTTTTGTTTGTTGAAATGAAACAATACTGAAGACGTTTTTTTTTTTTGTGTTTTTGAGTGGTTGGGTTGCTGTCTAATTGATGTGTTACCCCAATTTTCTTTTATCCATACAAAGGAAAAAGTGTTTATATACCTCACAAATGACATGTATGAGGTTTATCATGCAAAATTATGTCAAACCATCTTGCTGCTCTTTGACCAAAACTCCTGATCAGATTTACTAAATCTTCTAATCAAGGAATACCAGTACTGCATTTAAAAAGTTGCTGTCTTATGATGGGATTTAGTGGTAGCAAAATGTAGTTTGTAAATCCATAATTAACTGTGATAATTCTTTACATACATTACTGTCTATTCTAATGCATTACTAATAAAATGTTTAAAATAAAACATTTGAAGTAGTCCCAAAATGTTCACTTTTAACCCTGTAATTAATGGCAGACAGCATCCAATCAAAATTGGTGTTACTTACCATATTGCATTAGAATGATTTCCTACGCATGAAAAAAAATCATAACACATACAGTACCAAGGAAAATTTCGGAGTCACTCCGAGAAACTTGGATATTCCTCCCAAAATGTTGGGAGGAATTTAGGAGTAATCTCTCCCAAAATTGTGTAAATGTTAATTGTGATAGCGAGCTCACTCCCAACACCGAGGAATTAGTTGCCTTAATCCTACTTTAATCTATGCTGGCACACGACTGATAGGGTAATTGATTACCTGATGTCATAAACAATTATATTTCCGGTCTACTGTACCAGTTTAAGTGTCAAACAAGTGTATAATTTTAAATGTCTTTTTATATTGGTAAAGTTTAATTTTTGTGTTAAAAATAAGTTAAAATATTTTCGTATTTCTTGCTTGCTAATCTAAAAATATCTTTACCTAAATGGACTTGCTTGTTTAAAAAAAAACGGACATTACCGAAAAAGGTTTATAAAATTTAGTGGAAAAAAAACACGAAATTCTACTTCAAAGCTGAATAAATGTGAGCAGTTTAAAGAAAATTACGTGTCTCAAAGTTTGTATACAAGTTAAAAAGAAAATATTATTCACCATTTGTTATGCTTAATAAGTCTACGGCATTTTCTTTTTACGATTATCTAATTGCTTGAAACAAATAAAAGATTTAAAAGCACAATGTTGTTGTTAATTCTTTCAATTGCATTAAAGTTTTATAAAAAAAAACATTTACGAAAAGGGACATACTTGTGTAAAAATAAACGGAAACTACTGCTGGCCCTAAATAAATGTGAGCAGTTTAAAGAAAATTACGTGTCTCAAAGTTTTGTATATGCAAGTAAAAAAGAAAATATTATTCACCATTCGTTATGCTTAATAAGTCTACGGCATTTTCTTTTTACAATTTGTTGGCATTACTTTAGGATAATAATACATTTCGGCTACAACAGGAATACTTCCACAGCTGCATTGACTCGTCTTTGCATAATATTTATTTACGCACAATGAATGTAAACTTGTGTGTTGTATTTTGGACAGCAAGTTGATCTTAAAAGATTTTAAAAGAAATTAATTTGCCGTGGGAAGACAATTCCACGATACACATATCAGTGATCAACAGTGTGTGGTTGAACTTTGCTCACAATATTAAATGCTAAAAATAGCTGACATCAATTTTAACCACAGCACAAGATCTTTATATGGCGGGAAATAATATCACGTACCAGTAAACTCAGGTGACCTCTCTGAACGACCGTGGGAAAATTCATTCAGGTTTTTAAAGTTGCTTTGTATTAATGATTGACATTTTTTTACGTTAGTATTGAGGCTCTAGAAGGTCCTTTTACAATTGATTAAACGGAATCTAAAATATAATCCTTTTCTGAATAAATGAACACACATCTTCTTTAACTATTTTATTTTTTATGTTTTATCAGTCAAAACAGGACGTAGACCTGAACATTAGTTATACGTCCAAGGTCAACAATATAAATTTATTGAAGATGAAAACACGATGCATGTCGTTAAGTTGGGCGTTGGTAGAGATCCTCTGTGAAAATGTGTAGATCGTTAAAATCCTGTCCACTTATTTTTTCTTGTAACATCTGGGTACACGATATAATTTCATTTTAATATTTTTAGTATATATATTTGATTTTTTTCTATAGTAATTGTTGAAATAGTTCATTTTTTCATTTCGCCAAGGACTTTTAACGAGCAGTAAAATACGGATTGCGCTCATCCAATTTTTTTTTTTAAATAATTAAAGATCAATAACAGAGATAAACGTAAGAGTAAGACATAAAAGATTCTAATTGTGGTAAAATCATCTTTGTTGAAAGAACACAAAGTATGACCTGACCAGACTATAATAGAAATACAAAACAAGTTTTTTTCTTCGTATTTTTATTCGTTTGTACGTTTTATTTCAAATGACAATGACATAAGGCAAAAACATATAAGAATAATTATCTTATGCTGAATGATAATGTCACATCTTTATCTGTCAAAGAAAGGAAAACATTTGTTAAAATTTTAATACCACGTTTTTAAAGCACACAGGTGTAATCAAGATCGATTAAATGTACATAGGTAAATAATCTGGCTAATTCGATTATGTTGTCACGTGTCGTTAATTTTTTAGGACATCCGATGGGCACTAAACCAATCAACAGCCACACGGTGTTGGGAGAGAATCTTTGGAGGAAATTGGGAGTATAATCCGCGGTACGCGGTGTGACTCCGAAAAACACGGAAATCGGAAAAAAACGATCTCAAATCGATTCGTTTAAATGGTACTGTAATGAGATAATGGGAAGGAATTAAAATTACCTCCTAAAAGATATGACTATATATATACAAACCTGCGACATTGGTCATAACAGTTGTAGTGAAAGGGATTCCTGGGCCCTCTGCAGTGTAGGCCAAAATATTTACTGTGAACGTTACTGAGGGAAGCAAATCTGTGACATTTAATTCCATATCCTTTTGATTTAATTCAATTTGACTGACAAAAACATCAGTACAATTTTTGTTTGCAGAAATCTGGAAGAAAAAAGAATTATTTTATCTTTTTAATGATTGAATAAATCATTTGTATATAAAATTTGTAAGGGTTCCACGGAACCCAGTGTCTCGCCTACTTTTGCTGTTAATCGCAGGCTCAACAAAAATGAGGGAAAAAATTAATAAAAATATTCCTCTCTATACTATCTTTTGATTGTAAGTAGCTTCTGTCCAAGTTTGGTAAAAATCCAGGATAGTTTATGAATCTAATACATGTTTTAAAAACTTAAACTGCAGACTGTATGTTATGTTAACTGGATTAAAACTAAGTCCATTTATAAGTAAAATATGGAAAAAATGGAACAAAATTTTAACCAAACTTCCTTCTAGATACTAGCTTTTAATCATAAACAAGCTTCTGTCCAAGTTTGGTACAAATCCAGGATAGTTTAAGAAAGTTATTAAAATTTCAAAAACTTTAACCACAGAGTGAATGTAATGTTTCCTGGCAGAAAAACTAAGTCCATTTATAAGTAAAATACAGAAAAAATGGATTTTTTTTTTACAAATTTTACTTTTGAATATTATCTTATGAGCATAAACAAGCTTCTGTCCAAGTTTGGTAGAAATTGAGGATAGTTTAAGAAAGTTATTAAAATTTCAAAACTTTAACCACAGAGTGAATATTTGTGGATGCCGCCGCCGCCGACAACAACGACGACGATGACGCCGACGACGGAATGTAGGATCGCTATGTCTCGCTTTTTCGACAAAAGTCGAAGGCTCGACAAAAATGACTATACTGACTGCATAACATATTTCATTATCAACAAGTGTGTATTTCAAAGAACTCATCAGATATTAATACTAATTAAAAAGTTTTGGTAAAAATAAACATTGTATGTATTGCTTGATTATTAGTTAGATATTTTAAAATAAGCAGACCTTCAAATCATTGTTATATAACAAGAGTGCACATGCTGAACTGTCTCACCTTCTTTACTGATCATTACTGATTTTTATCATATATTTAGTACTAAATACAGAAATTTTGTATATCTAATAAAGGTTCTTTACTCAAGCCTGTATCATCTACCCTGTATCTCATTCCCAGTATCGCATAGCTAAACCCGTATCGCATACCACGTATCGCACCCCTTTTGGAACATCTCGAGATTGTTTCCGGAACTCCTAGGTTGTTATCCGCTTGAAATTTATGCAATTATTTTTTTTCTTTTACCGCATCTCTTTCAAAATTATTTCAAATAAAAGACCAAAGATTATATAATTTAATCTTTTTCCGAGGCCTCACTAGGTCTCCAATGTTACATCATCAAGGCGTGACGTCATATATCGAATGACGTCAAATTTTGACATATGATGTCCAGTTGCCGTATTTTCTGGCATGATACGAAATGTTATCACATTAAATAAGCGTCAGCAAGAGGGCTAAGCAGCAGCGGACACCAATCTTCTTTTGAGGGGGGCTGGGAGGGAGAGCTAGCAAATTTGATGAGGTCAGAATATTTATTTCAAACATAAAGGCGGCCAGATTATTTAAATAATCAAACAAAAACAATGTAGAGCAGTCAAAATGAAGTCTCGAATATATATATTCTATAAATATAAAAACATAATACCATTACAATCGATGGTTGGTCTACGAAAAGAGAGTCTTCTGGCAAGCGTAGTGAGTCATTTTTATTTTTTTTTTAAATTTAATAAACGAAATTATATTTATTTAGATGAAAAGGAGGGGACACATTCACTGCATATCCCTCAAAACAACAACTGATAATAGAATTCGTTCCAGATTTTCTGTTAATATTGGATACATTTGTAACTGACTACAAACATTTATTTGGACCAGAATATTTATTTTTCATGTGTGATATGACAAGATAATATATTTTCATCTAAATGGGGACCAGAATATTTATTTCTAAAATCTGCCAGGCCCCTACCTCAGAATCAAAGTTAATGATTGTCCCCTTACATATCACAAATCTGAGTTTGTAAAAATATATGATAAACAGATCAATACATGGCAAAATCCGTATCGCATGCTGTATCACCCCTCGACCAATATCAGCCCTCTGGACTGATATTGGTTTCTCGTGGTGATACAGCATGCGATACGGATTTTGCCATGTATTATTCTATATATACTGAAAGTCTTTAAAATAAAGGTTTCACTACAAGTATCACATAAACTTTGCATTATCAGTGATCTATGTAAATGAGGTCAAGGTAAGATGAATCCTACCAGATAGCCAAATACACCTTATAACCATACCAAACACCAAAAATAGTTAACTCTTTGCTTACAGAAACAAGAGCTAACCAGGAAAACTTAAAATTACCAATTAACCATGGAAAAGGGGTCAAGTTCAGATGATATCTGTCAGACAGACAGTACACCTTATAATTATTCCATACACCAAATAATTATTCCATAAACCAACTAGAGGCTCTAAAGAGCCTGTGTCGCTCACCTTGGTCTATGTGCATATTCAACAAAGGACACTCAAAACACGAAAGAGAGTATAAAGAGTGACAGTCTACTAACTATATCGGAAAAATTTGAATTGTTAGTAGATCATTTTTGTTATTTAAAGTATCTATTTATCTAACATAATTTTTAAAATACATGGCAAAACGCCAAAAAATGTTAAAAATCGTCATTAAAGGGCAATAACTCTGATAAGGAGTCGTTGGACAATTTCCTCCATATTGTCTAAATGGTAGATCTTGTCTTGCTGATCCTTTTTTTCTTATTTAAGTTTCTTTCTATCTACAGTTAACTCTCATTGTCTCGAACTCGGTTGACTCAAATTTCGGATGAGTCGAAGTTTTCTCGTGGTCTCAAACTTTGTTCCATATAAATATATGAATTTCGACTCGAAATTGGATGAGTCGAAATTTCGGTTGACTCGAACTAAATTAACGATCCCAAGGTTAACAAAGCATTCAAAATTCATTATTTATCTGGAACAAATACATGAAAGTTCCAACTATGTACTGGCTTCCAAAGCTGCACAAACACTTTACAAATATAGATTTATTTCGTCTTCAAGCCATGGTTCCACTACTAAACAGTCTATTCTACTTACTAGTATACTTGGTTTAATCAAAAACCTGGTAATAAATTGTTCAAATAAGGCCTTTGAAAATAGTGGAATTAATTACTTTTTGAGTGTCAAAAATTCATTGGAAGTACTTGATAAACTGCATGCTTATATTGGTGATTTCGAATCTGTTCCAAGTTTTGATTTTTCTACCCTACATACCACTTTGCCCCATAATGTTATTAAGAAAAAATTCACACACCTAATTAAATGGTCATTTAAAAAGTCAGAATGTGAATATATATATTCTAACTCTTTCAGGTAATTTTTTAGTAACAACAGACAAAAGAACTATGTCAATTGGACCTGCTTTGATACGATAACTGCCCTTGAAATTTTGTTCGCTATGGAGATTCCGTATATCGTCAAGTTATCGGAATTCCAATGGGGACTAACTGTGCACCACTTATTGCAGACCTGTTTCTGCATTGTTATGAGTTACAATTTATGACTAAAATCAGCAAAGACCCATCGAAACAACATCTGATACAAAAATTTAATAACACTTTTAGATATTTGGATGGAATGATTTTCTGAGGTTTTAAAGATGTTGAAGCACTTATTCAGGATGTCAACTTGTATGAATTATTGTTTCATTACCTTAAGTTGTCCAATTTAAGAACGTTAATAAGGATTTACTTTGGTCTTTAATTAGCTCTGAAGACATCTGAGGATATTCAAAGAGGTAAAATAGTGGTTGTTATGACGTTGATTAGAAGTTGTACAGACATCTGAGGATATTTAAAGAGGTTTAATGGTGGTTGTTATGACATTGATTAGACGTTGAACATCCTTATTCGAGTTCATCCTGTTGGTTGATCTGATGTTGTACCAACGTTGTACTGACGTATGTCAAGACGTTGGGTAGATGTCAGTTTTAGACGTCTAAAACATTTCATATACATTTTTTTTGTACTACCAAAATCTAACGTAGGCGCAACTTAAGGGACTGACTTCGAACTGATGTTTATACAACGTCAAATGTCTGCTGGGTAAGATCGATTGGAAATTACTCTCTCTGCCAAAAACCACAGGAAAAAATTGTAGATAAACAAAGAAATAAATAAGAGACGAAAAACATAAAATGTTATTATAATAATGAAAGACCATAACATACAGATTCGTTGATCTGAGACCAGAATATCGATCCCCTACCCATATTCATCTGGATTTATTTTAGCCTTACCAATTTAAGCAAGAAATACTGGTATTTTGAAATTTTTCTCTGGTCCGGCTGATTTCAAGATAACGAGAGTCGACAGTATTATAATTTTTAAGATATAAGTTAATAAACTGCTTCGCTGAGCGCAGCTGGATACGCCCGCAGGGGTCCAACCCTGAACAGTTGGGGCAAAAATGGACACAATATTCAAGCTTGATACAGGTCTGAATTTGGATTGTAATTAAATATTTGACATATTATAGGTTTCTGAATAAATGTAGTCAAAGAACTTGAAATTGGTTATATGAATTGAATTTATATTCAATTAAAGATTTCTTGCTGTTGTGCAATACACTGTGCTGTTGCACAATACTTAGTAAATCTGTTGTCAGACTATAAACAAATAAAGTTCAATTTCTTCTCAAAGTCATATTTGAAATTTATGGAAATCAATAGGGAGATTACATCAATAGGTATAAATAATTCACCAAAGTTTCATGAGAACTGCTGAAAGCCATTTTGAGTTATTGTCCAAAAACTGGAAAATCCCCCCTTTTTTAATGAATAAAACCCCATAACTCAGAAATGTAAAATCTAAAATTTATAAAATTCTAAAGGGAGCTTACATCAACAGATATAAACTATTCACCAAAGTTTCATGAGAACTGCTGAAAGCATAGATGCCAACCCCCTTTGAGTGCTATCAGTAAAAAGGCATTCACATTTCTGTAATTTGTGTCTATTTTCAG